AAGTGGGTAATAATAATGATGCCTTACAGGTCAATTTCGTGTTAAGATCCTGTTAGCCGACTTGATGCAACAAGACCGAGACATCTACTTTTAGTTTTGTTTAACTTGATTTCAACTTTTACATTATTCGGTAAAAAATACATTTTTTGTTTCTAGGCCGTATCATCTTTGGTGCTGTAGCCATTTAAACTCACTTGTTGAGTCTATATCACAATGGTAAATTACAGTTCTCTTTTGATTAAAAGTTTACAATATATGTATACGCCACGTGGTCACTACTGTTTACTCTGAGATACGCATGAATGATTTAACACGATACCCTTTACAATATTCCTTAAATTGATTATTAGTATTGGTCATTTTTTAACATAAAAGTAATAATGAACAGGTTCTGGTTTTGTTTTCTGATTGCATTTTAAGTGGTGTTTGTGATAAAAGCGTATCAAAACCAAGCAATGTCGAAGATCGTTTATCATACAACTTGGTATTGCATTTCTATTTTGATAAAAAGTCTACACTATATATATATATATATATATATATATATATATACGCTACCGTTTACTCTGAGATACGCTTGAACGATTTTACGTGATGCCCTATATAATTCTCGTTATGTTTATTATTAGTATTGGTAATTATTAAACAGAAAAGTCATAAAGAAATAATGAACAGGTTCTGGTTTGGTTGATTGCATTTTAAGTGGTGTTAGTGATCAAGGCGTATTAAATCCTACCAATGTCGTAGATTGTGTATTATATTCAGGTGAACATGATATTAAGGATTCTACCGAAAGATGAAGGGCTGCTTCATATATTATTTTTTTCCCTCGATAAGTTGACGCAGATGTGCGACTTGTCTGTAATTCTACCAATTGTTTCCTTTTCCTGATTGTGACATTTTGACTGAGTGTGGATTTGCATGGCAGGTGATGAATGCGTAACAGTTGACACTTACAGTGTCGACGCACCCGGTCTTGCTCTATTTGGTGTTTATGCGATTACCTCATGCGATTTGTTTATTATCTTGATTTGTCTCTTCTCAACCCATTTACGAGATTTCAACATCGGTAAGCAGTGTCACTCATATTACCTCTACTGGGTGACTTCAGATATGAGAAAATAGAAAAGTTGGAATGTTTAAAAACTGTTAAAGTCAGAAAAGATGCTCAGCAACAAAGATTTTTTAGTGTTGTACTACAGTACAGAAAATCTAAATTATCATTTTCGTTTTTCTCATTTAAGCAATTATGATGGAAAATAAGCAGTTTAAATCTTAATTTTTACCAAATATTTTCAGTAATTTAAACTTAATATTTCAAACCACATTTAACATACCTTTTTGTGTTTTGTTAAATTACAACTTGCTATTTCATTGGTGTATTCCCAATATAGCCTTCGTTCTCAATGAAAAAAGTAAAGTTTATATAAAAAGTCAAATAAGATTTTTTCACAATGACATTTTAAATTAATAAATTTATGCCAAACAGTCAAAGGTTTGATTCTCAACGTTGCGTCTGTAATATGTAAAATGTAATGAGTCTTAAAAAATTCAGATGAATGATGGTTAATGGGCCTATAGAAACTTTTCTTCTGACGCTTTTTTTTATTATCAATTGATGATATTGGTATCATTATATATATTTTGTAGTATTTCTGAAATTGTCTTTGTAAAGTAGTACTAATAAAACCTCCACGATGTTGAATTCTGATATGAACAATCTGTATTTTCACTATATGGGCAGTATACGCTTATGACTGAATGACTTTAATACCCCGTCACTAAGTCGGACATTTACCAATGTATAGGGACATTCGCTCTTCCATCATTCTTAAATTGAACAGTTGTCCATACTTTTTATAATGCCTTATGATTCTGATATAATTTTTAGTACTAAGGGGTATAATGATATTTTACAGATCGAGTTTACTTTTTGTTCCGGGTGCTTGACTATTGGCGGAATTACGGTCCTAAGACATATTTTTTTATGAAAGTTGTACTTGTCCAGACGTTATAACATTATCTATATAAATATTGCTAAGCACCTGTCCTGTCTTTATGACAAATAAGTTGTTCTTGCCGCCGAAAAAGTCCTAATAAACATTGTTCTTGTGTGTAAATAAGGTTACATAAATTGCTGTATAACGGAATAAGGTATTGACAATTCATTTGGAAATTAAAATATACTCCCATACAAAAGCGGAAATCCTGAACATCAAAGGTCTGTTATATGTTCCTTTGGAATTTTAATCCCAAATTACAAACGTGTCCTTATAAAAACGTTATATTATTGGGTCTGCAGCGCACCAAAAAACCTCTTTCCAAACTGTTAACATTAATTTTTAGCAGCAATCAAAGTGGGGCTTCAGATATAGTTGAAACTTCCTAGTATAGAGGAAGTGTTATAGTACATGCAATTTAAGTATATTTCCTTTTGCCATAGTATAATAATATTTTACTGTGATATCCTTTACTTTAATATTCACCATTCTAAACTTAACGACGGATGAAAAGACAGTCCAACTTTGTTTCATTAAAAGAAATTGCCAACTTGGATATACACATCCAATTTAAGAAGGGATAAATAATATTTTGTACAAAAACCACTCTGATTATCTGTTTTCATTCAGATACTTGATTTTGTTATTGACAACCTATTTTTACGTTTGAAAGACGCGTTTTTCAACAAAAAATCTTATGGAAACCAATCGTGCTCATTTTTTGCTGACTTGTTCATAAATTCATACGAGGTAGACTTCATAATGAGCTTCTCGGGAAGAATAAAAACAGCTAGCATTATCTTGTAACTTCATGTTCAGCTATAAAGATTATGTCCTTTCACAAAATAATTTGCAGCTAGGTAACTATGATAAAAGATACCACAGATACAAGTAAATATGTGTCATATCTTGACCTGCATACAAAAACTGCAAATGAGATTCAGTTGCGAACAAAACTTCACGTCAAAAGAGATGATTTTAGTTTCCCAATTGTGGGAACTTTCTATTTCTATGAAGGAACGTTCTACCAGGGCCTGCATATGGAGTATACATCTCCCAGTTGATATAATATTCCGTAGCTTGAGTTTTCGAACATGATTTTCTTGATAGGGATTTGCTGCTTTCAAGGAAGCTTTTGAAACAAGGTTACCTAGTAGTAGTTTAAGTCGTCCCTTCGAAAGTTTAAAGAACGCCATCCCGTTATAGGATATTTGTCACAGTTGACGACAGATGTGTTCCTCTTCCTATTGTCGTTATAACAATCCCGTCCTCTTTCCATAGATCATGACAATTCCGAATGTAAACTTACCATCATCAAGATTGGTACAACTAGTGAAGCAGAGTCAACTTACCCTTCATGAGCATCTGAGATTACCCCCAACTTTGTAGAGGGGTTCGCGTTGTTGAGTCTTTAGTTTTCTGTGTAGTGTTTTGTGGACTTCGTTGTCTTTTTGTCGTTTTTCTGTTTTTGCCATGGCGTTGTCATTTTTCTTCTACCTAAAGGAGTTTTGAATTTCCCCTTTGTATCTTCCACTATTTTACCCTTAAAATAAATAATCAGAACCTCCCGACTGCTCTTGTTTATCATCAACATACAGATATAGTCCTGCTGGCCTTTGATAACAGGGAAACTTGGTATCGTAAACATAAAATATATAAAAGAGTTGTTTGCCAATGGCCAAAACATCGATGAACTTCAGGTAACTAATGGATAAACAAAATTAAATTGTCTATAGTATCCAAGGAAACCATTTTTATGGAGTGTTTTAGAAGACAATAACAACAAATCAGTTGTTGGCTACGGGCATAGTCAGAACGTAAACGCTATAGTGCGTTATTGTTTTGTTTCTTGGTTAATTATTTTTATAAAGGAAATTAAAGTGCGTTGTTATTTAGATATGCAGCTGGCTTAAAGTTATACTTTTCGTCCAGTTACCATGCGACTACATCGAAAATGGAAATATTGACAAGCGAATCGGACGATACGAAGTTGACTTTAGATGAATTTGACTATTATTTTTAGTTCCAGAAAAGTGCTTCGGACGCATGAAAATTATAAAGGAGAGGTGAAATATACCAGAGACATTCAAACTCATAAGTCGAAATTAACTGACAAATCCAGGACAAAGAACGAAAAACGACATAAAAGACAAACTACTGTATACAAATAAAGGCAACAACAGTAGTATACCGCTGTTCAATAGTCAAAATTCGACTATGCAAAAACAAATCCGGGTAACAAACTGAAATCGAGGGAAACACATCAACTATAAGAGGAAAAAACAGAAACACTGAACTACAACAAAAGCAAGCGCCAATATACGTAGAAGACACAACATAGAAAACTAAAGACTGAACAACACGAACCCCACCAAAATCCGGGGATGATTTCAGGTTCTCCAGAAGGGTTACCGGATCCATATGAGACACCCGTCGTGTTACTCCTATAAAGTTCGTTGATAAATCAAATCAAATGATAAGGCATCACGCTATAGCGGATTGGTAATTGAGACTTATATCAAACCTCAAGAAATCACTTAATTCGTAAACCATCGGTCAAAGAATAAAGTATACAGTGTGGTTTTTTTTTTTCATTTTATACAGCACTGGATAGATACCGCTGCTGGTGGACATAACAGTCCCCGACAGTATTATCATCAGCTTAGTATTGAGTACTTCGTTAGTACTGACATGACTCACAACAAACCCTTCTTAAATTTTCCGTTTATAAATTTAAAAATTATAAAGAAACGAAGGTTTCAGCTCCCTCCGGCAAAATTGACCTTAGGTGGATTTGGATAATATTTTTAGGTCCAATTTGGTCACGTAACTCTTCTTCAACTGTTTCGGTTCTTATAGATCTTCCACTTTCAAATATTCGGCTTTGAACATTCCTGATGAAGGTAAATCTAGAAAAGCGCTCTGGATGCATGCAAATTATAAAGTGTTGCTTTCATTTTTTCAATGATTTATATGTAAAAAATAACAACAACTAGAGTATGAAATTATCATATATTTAATTGAGCAAGTAATTAACATCTTCCTTTTCTCTTTTTCATGCAAAAAATTAACCTATAAATGTATTATAATAGTAAATTCTGTAGAAAGTAAACCTGTATGAAGGGTGATAAATATGTACTTGAAAAAAAATCACTATTGTTATTAGATTTGGTGCTTATTTTTGTCTTGAAATAAGTATTGTCCATATTTTGTTTAAAACTTAACAGTTACACACATGACCAATTGAAGAAAATGTTATACATATTAGCCATGTGTCATACACTAGAAATGTGACTCAACCTAATTTTTTCTCCGAATTACAGGTTTGTTAATGTTTGAATGTACATAAAGTATCGGCTATTTTTTAATTCGGCTTTATAACAAGTAATAATTTTGGCCATCCATTTCCTATTGCTTTTGTTCTTTTTGGAATTTGAATGAAAAGAGTATACATCAATTAGACAGTAACCTAATGACACAGATAAACCAAAAAGGCACTTTAATGTCAATACAAATGCATTTATGGAATACTTCTTTCACAGATGACGACGGATATAATTCAATTGTCGTAACCATAATCCCATCCTCTTTTCTCCTCGAATGTGACCTACCAAATTAGTATTATCACTGGGTTTTTACTAACATGAGCAACAAGAAGTATACCACATGTGGAAAAGGATCTGCTTACCCTTCCTGGGGGGGTTTGTGTTGCTTAATCTTTACTGTTCTATGTTTTGTTTTGTAAACTGTTTGCATTTTGTCATCGTTTTTCATTTTCTTTTTGCAATGGTATTGTCAGTTAGTTTTAGAATTGCGAATTGAATGTCCCTTTGGTATTTTTTGCCTCTCTTTTAAGAAGAAAAAAATAACAGGAAGATAAAATAAAAGTTCAACTTTGCATGTCGGAAGTTCTCGTCAATTTCAGTGACTTCGATTGTTGCTACAATCCTGTCCCCCTTTCCCCCGAATGTGACATACCGAATTAGTCTTATCACTGGGCTTGTACTAACATGAGCAACACGCAGTATAACACATGTGGAGTAGGATTTGCTTACCATTCCGTAGCACCTGAGATCCCCGACGGTGTTTTGTGGGTTTGTGTTGCTCAATGTTTAGTTTTCTATGTTGTATTCTGTATGCTGAATGTCCCTTTGGTATTTTTCGCCTCTCTTTTAAGATGAAAAAAAAACAGGATTAAATGAAAGGTCAACTTTGCATGTCAGATTTTCAACCTAGGTTTTGTATGGCGTTCATTATCACTGAACTAGTATATATATTTGTTTAGGGACCAGCTGAAGGACGCCTCCGGGTGCGGGAATTTCTCGCTGCATTGAAGACCTGTTGGTGACCTTCTGCTGTTGTCTGTTCTATGGTCGGGTTGTTGTCTCTTTGACACATTCCCCATTTCCATTCTCAATTTTATTTGGTCAACTTCAACGTCCTCGAATATTGTACCTCTATTTGGGAAGATATCTTTCAAGTTATTATTTAAATTTTGACTAATGTCTATTTAAATTCACAAGTAAATAATTTATATGAATGCAATAACTTAAAACTTGACCACTTTAACACAAAGGTAAATTGTTAAAAGTTGTAAGCATTCTTATTAACAAATCCACAAAGCAATTAGGTACAAAAACTAAACTTAATACTATGAAGTTAAATATGAAAAAAACAATCTTAATGTTTTGGTCCAAAGAGTTTTTTTTTAAGTTGATATGATCGAGAATAAATGAAAAATAAAAACTGACATGCAAAAAATGGTTATTAACAAAACCACTGTATTGATCGCTCTACTAGTTTGGGGATTATATTGAATGCATCATTTGTAAGACTAGCACTCCTTGATATTCTAAGTGTTAACATAAAAGGGAATGAGGAGCATTAGATTAGCATCCGGGTTCTTGTTGGGTTTGTCAACAAAAAAAAGAAAGGAGCACCTGAGTTCACCCCCAGTTTTTTGTGGGGTTCGTGTTGCTCAGTCTATAGTTTTCTATGTTGTTTATTGTGTACTGTTGTTTGTCTTTTGTTTTGTTTTTTATTTTTATTTTTTTGCCTTGGCGTTGTCAGTCTATTTTCGACTTATGAGTTTGAATGTCCCTTTGGTATCTTTCGCTTCTCTTTAATAATTGTATAAAACAATTTTGAGCATCACATAAATTAATCCGTCTTTTCTCTATAGTACCATATACATGTTATTTTACAGGAGACAGAATCTAATCAATAAATATATTTCAGCTATACGCCAGTCAATCCATTTTAATAAGACACATCATTTCGTGTTGTTTCGATGTGTTTTAATAAGAAACCTTTTGTAGTGGAATAGTTGTTGATATGTCAAATCAAATGTTTGTCATCCGTGTCAGTTCCTTTTCTAAGCATCAACCTTCATCATATGAATCTCGTAGCAAATAGAGTGTTGAGTAAGATTATGTTCAAATAAATTTCTCCAAAATGGATTTCTATGGTACCAATAAATCCTAAATCCTATATCATATAATGATTTCAATTGCAATAGATAGGAAACATCAGGTGTCGCATGAAATTCAATAAGAAGCATTGTTACATCTTTAAAATATCCTTGCTTGATCATAACTGGCATACTGACCCATTCAGAGCCTTCAATGTCCATTTTAATAATATGCAGTATACTCTGAAAAAAGATATATAAATTACTTAAATAGATAAGGATAGACGTAAATGGAAAAGCGACCAAATGACAAAACAAAATATCCAGAGCCATGTAGAGGCAAATATAGGGTCTTCACCAATAGACAATGGTTCACACGATATGTCAAGCTTTTAATCGCTTGTGAATCAATTAAACTGAGGCTATCAAAGATTTGCCATTTACACCAATTCTTCATATATTGAAAACAAAACATATGATAAAGGTCATCCACTGACCAGATTTCTGACGCAGGGACGGGCAGTCGAACTCGTGGTTAGATTTTCATTTCTTTATTCTTCAAAGGAATGATTTGGTGTTTTTTTTCAATTATATAGGTAGCTGAAGTACAAATAAAATTAAATAATATTGTACAAGTCCTCCGATTTAACAATGTCAGTATACCAATTATGAAGTTCGAATAAACAAATTGGTTGTTGAAACCTATTTTGCTAAAACGTTGTAATGTTTTATGAGTTGACTATAAATTTTTGACTATGACTATAAAAATAAGAAGATAAGCTATTTATACCGTTTTGTTCTATTTTAAGTTTACCATTCATTTTTCACTGAGGAATTAAGGCCGTTTTTTTTTCATTTCGCTTACTTAAGTACGTATTGCTTTATAAAAAAAACCCTGTTGATTGATTTATTAATTGATTGATTGGTGTTTTACGCCTCTTTCAATATTATTTTGAGAGAACCACCGACATTTGGCAGGAAAACTGACAATCGTAGTACGTCAAATAGGCCAAAAAATATCTGGTCTGTAAAATCTAGGTCACGGTTTTGTCAGAAATCTGTAAAAACTGACTTTTAGGCAGACCTGGCTTGCCTATAAAAATTTCCCAGGAAGACACTCAAGTCCCATTTACTTCCAGTTAGTATGGATGGACTGCTGTAACTACAAGGAAATAATTGAATGACAAAACAACACAGTTTGGTCAATGTTCACTTCTCAAGGTCGTATGAAAATCGAAAAATAGACTAAAAATTACCATTTTTCAGCTGGGGTGGGTTCAAACTCACCAGAAAATAACTTGTTTTTCCTATCCGATAATAGAGAAAAAATGAAAAATACTTTGTCTGCTTGGATTGCTTTTTAAGACTCATCTAAAAAATGCATAACATTTTTGTTCGTTAGAATGAGCAAAGGGTAAGAAAAAAATGTTAGGTTACGCATGAACATTGTTTTCTTGTTTAATTTTATTTCATCTATTAGAATGGTTTGAAATATAGAATCAAATTTTGTTTCCAAGATGACTTATAATCGAGCACACCCTTATTAGTGAAATAACCTAGACTTAAGGGTTACATACCTGGAAATGTATTCTAGTTGTACCATTTCATTTTTCTTGGACGATTCTACATCCAATATTTATTAAACAAAAAACACATAATCCATTAACATACATGTGCATTTTTATGCACCTGTCCTAAGTCAGGAGCCTGTTGTTCAGTGGTTGTCTTTGTTGGTGTGGTTCATAAGTGTTTCTCTTTTCTCGTTTTTTATATAGATTAGACCGTTGATTTTTGTTTGAATTGTTTTAAACTAGTATTTTTGGGGCCCTTTATAGCTTGCTGTTCGGTGTGAGCCAGGGCTCCGTGTTGAAGGCCGTACTTTGACCTATAATTGTTTATTTTTTACACATTGTGACGTGGATGGATAGTTGTCTCATTGGCACTCATACCACATCTTCTTATTTATATGTATATGCATACATATTAGGATTTTCTCTTTCCCGAAATACCACTTAAAGACACAAATAAATATCCTTTCAATCCCAAGAAAGACGTGCGTATCCATTGATTTATAACATTAATCGGGATGAACTTTATTGAAGTTCAGTTTGTAATAATTATTCTACTTTTCATGGAAACTTCGATAAGAGAGTAGATGGTCAATTTGATCTTTAAGTTTTGCATAAGGATTATTGGGTACAACACGGAGAAAATGAAAATAAAACCATTACATAACGAAATAAAATTCTATAGAATGTCATACTCTGGAGATTCATTTTTAATATTAAAGGTGTATTTTAAGTCAGCAAAATTAAAAAAAAATGTCCATTATTTCCCAGGAATGGACAGTTATTTGGAATATCTAACGTCAATTCAGTAATGCTCAGTAGCTTTTCAGATAATTCAGTATGATGTTGATGGGTACATGTAAATAACAACTACTGAACAGTCTGAATTCAACAGATCTTAATTAACTGCAAAAAGTAAAATAACAAAAATACCGAATACCAAGGAAAATTCAAAACGGAAAGTCTCTCATCAAAATAAGAAGTTCAAACACATCAAACACATCAAACGAATGGAAAACAACTGTCATATTCCTGACTTGGTACTTGGTACAGGCATTTCCTTATGTAGAAAAGCGAAATGTCTGAACAGTACTGAATTTACCGCAGTGGATAAGTCTGATAAATGACTGAAATACTGAAAATTACTTCATAATTTATTGTTATGTCTTTTAAGAACTTTTCAGATCAAAATGACCGTTTCAGATATTGAGCACTCTTTATATAACAGGTAAACCAACGAAATGCTATATCTGCACAAATTACACTTTGATCATCCATTTTCACATAGGTAGAATACATGTTACAAATGTCAGCTAAAATAAGCAGTCTATCTTCAATATACACCATTATGCAAGCTGAATATTTATAAGTTATCGTCATTGTTATACTTTTTTATTGGTAAGGAGGTACAAAAACTCAAAACCATCACGGCGATCCTTCAAATCAATGCACAAGTACATATGAATTTGTAGAGAAAAAATAAGTACAATTTAATGCCGGTATATTTGTAAATTATTTAATTCTAGCACTAAAGCTTACACACAGGAATAACTATAAAAATATAGATGTGAGACAAGTTCGATAATTTTATTGTAAAAATGCAAATATAACTATGTTCTCTCTTCCTTTGGAAAATATCATTTTGATCAAAAGGCTTTTTATCATCAAAATCTTTTGTTATAACAATGACACAAGGGGTCAGGTAGGAATACGATATGAGCTGTATAACGAATAGGGACATCAACATTAGTTACTGCATCCAAACACTTATGATATGATGTAGGATCTGTTATTTCAACTTAGGTAACATGGTTACAAAAACAAATCAATAACTTCCATCTCTATTAACAGGTAGCAATAGTTATATGTTTAATTGAATATATACGGTAAACTGTCGGACTTTTGTGCCACATAAAAGTAAAACTGGATGATAAACATGAAATAGACGATAGGAGATTTCTTTTTTCTATTAGTTGATATGATTGAAATTGTATAAGAAAATAAAAATTGACATGCAGAAAATGTTTATTAACAAAACACGGTTTATTATATTAATCGCTCCATTTTGTTTTGGAATTCTATTAGACGCATCCTCCGAAATACTAAGCATTTTGTATCCCAGGTAAAGATTACATTAGCTGTATTGGGCAAAACCTTTCGGAATATTTAGTCATCAATGCTCTTTAAATTTGTACTTTATTTAGCCTTCTCAACTTTTTTGTTCGAGCGTTACTGATGAGTCTTTTGTAGACGAAACGCGCATCTAGCGTACACAATTTTAAGCTTGGTATCTATGATGAGTTTAGTGTTAGACTAGAGCTCCTTAACATTTTTAGTGTTTATATAAAAAAGGGGAATGAGGAGCATAAGACTGGCAACCGGGTTCTAGCTGGGTTTTCTTTAAAATAAAAACGATAAAAATTGTACAAAACCATGTTTTTCATCACATAAATTACAAAATAAAAGTTTTCATCAGTGCTTTCTTTAAAGTATTTTTACTAGAACAGAATATAATCTCATCAATAAATACATTCCAGCTAAACATCAGTCAATCCATTTCATTTTGACATGTCCATTCTTGTTGTTTCGATGTGTTTTCATAACTAGAACACCTTTTATAGTAGAATGGTTGTTTATATGTCAAATCAAATTTTCGTCATCCATGTCAGTTCTTATTCTACACATCAACCTTCATCATATGAACCTCGTAGCAAGCAGAGTGTTGAGTTAAATTGTGAACAAACAAATTTTTCCAAAATGGATTTCTATGGTACCAAAAAATCCTAAATCCTATATCATATAATGATTTCAATTGCGATAGATAGGACACAGCAGGATACGCATGAAATTCAATAAGAAGCTGTGTTACATCTTTAAAATATCCCTGCTTGATCATAACTGGCATACTGACCCATTCAGAGCCTTCAATGTCCATTTTAATAATATTCATTTTTCTCTGAAAAAGACATAGTTATTACTAAAACAGATAAGGATAGACGTAAATGCAAAAGCAACCAAATGACAAAACAAAATATCCAGAAACATGTAGAGGCAAATATAGGGTCTTCAACAATAGACAATGGTTCACACGATATGTCAAGCTTTTAATCGCTTTTGAATCAATTTAACACAGACTATCAAAGATTTACCATTAACACAATTTCTAAATATATCAAAAACATAACATATGATAAAGGTCAGCCTTGGACTAGGTTCCCTACTAATGGACATTCAGTTGAACTTGTTGATGTATTCGTAGCTGAAGATACAACTAAAATAAAATAATAAGTCCTCCGATATGACAAAGTCAGTACGCCAATTATGATGTGCGTTTATACAAATTGGTTGTTGACACCTATTTTGCGAAAACGTTGTAATTATTGCGCATGAATGTTTTATAAATTTACCATTCATTTTTGACTGAGCTATTTAGGCCGTTATATTCAATTCTGCCAGGACTCCTCGTATAATAGTTTTGCCTTTTACTAACCTATTGCTTTATAAAAAGATAACTAATGTCATGATTTTCGAGCGCACAACATGTGTCATGAAAAAAACTGAACAAGTATGCTAAAAAAAAGCTTGGAAGCCAAAAATATCATATGTTTGAGAGAATAGAAACCAACATGGCCTTAATTAACTATCCAAAACTGTCTGATATCATTTTTACATAAGAAAGATGGAATCTTTAGTTAAAGAACAATTACGAGCTTAAAATTTACAAGCGAAATGTTAAATTATAATTTGTTAAAAACCGAAGCAAAGCCATCTTTTTTAAAAAGTAAAAATAACAAAAATACCGAACTCCAAGGAAAATTCAAAACGGAAAGTCCCTTTCAAATGGCAAAATCAAAAGCTCAAACACATCAAACGAATGGAAAATCCGTCATATTCCTGACTTGGTACAGGCATTTTCTACTGGTCGATTGAAGCTAGTTTAAAAGCAAGCTAAACCTACGGGATGTCTTGAGCATTCTTCATAACGGGTAATCCAACGAAATGCATTAACTGCACAAATTCCACTTTGATCATCGATTTTCACATATTAGAATACATGTAACGTATTTAAGCAAAATTAAGCAGAGTCTATCTTCAATATATTCTGTTTGACATTTTATTTTATTTGACACCATTATGCAAGCTGAATATGTTTAACATTATCGTTATTGTTTTACTTTTGTAATGGTAAAAAGGTACGAAACTCAAAACCATTTCGGCGGTCCTCCATCTCATTTGCACAAATTCAAAATTGTATTAGATATAACAAATAGAATATGAATGCACAAGTACATATACTTTGTAAAAATATAATTTGTACTTTGAAGAGAAAAAAATAACTACAATTTAAAACCGGTGTATTTGTTAATTATCTAAGTCTACCACAAAAGCTAAGAGAGAATAAGAATTATAAAAATATCGATGTAAGACATGGTCAATAATGTTACTGTGTAAATGCAAATGGCACTTTATTTTAACTCCTTTACACTTCTAGGAATATCATTGGTTAAAAGCGAACACGTAATAATAATATTAATACGTATATTTAATATTTGGTCAGTGGGCGTGTTTTATTTAAAACCCGATTAGTAGTAGTGTTACTTCTCTTTATAAAAATAACATGGCTATGAAGAAAAATGTTTTGCCCGGACAACAGATGAAGAAATTGATGATAAACGATTGAAAAAGGATACAGAAAACACATTTAAAGCTAGCTAACAAATGGTTATTGTTGGTATTTGTTTTTGTATAGACCAATGGAAGTAGGTTCTCAATATTGAAGACGTGATCACTAAAAAATAAGCCACCAATACTAAATTCCACATATTAAGATAGTCGGTAAGATAAATTCGTTACACAGTGTGCTAGTGACTTAATACGACATTAACGGCGTCAGTAAACTCCATATGGGGCTCGAACTTCGCTCGCTCTCGGCTCAAATGGAATTTTCTGAATATCGCATTCAGTCTCTCTTCCTTTACAAAGTATCATTTTTTATCGAAATATTTTGTTATAACTATGACACAATGGGTCAAGTAAATCAATCGAGTACACCAATTATTTATTTGATTTTTGTCATTTATCAAAAAAAACGTTAGTTATGACACAAAAAAGAATTCTTGAAATTTAGAGACTAGGCCTGCCTGTGAAATATAGATTAAATCTTAAAGCATTGGTAAATTAAATTTGGAACCTTTTGTCTGTCAATTTGCATTTCGTTATCACTTTCAGAACCGTTGAATTTTTGTTTCATTATATGATGAGAATAACTCAATATACATTAAGTAACAGCTGGAAATGTATAAATACGTTATAAGCTGTATGACGAACAGAGACTTCAACATTATTTACTGCTATGATGTAGGATCTGTTATTTTAAATTGCAAATCATGGTTACGTAAACAATTAATGACTTCCATCTCTATCAACAGGTAGAATTTTTTATGTATTAGATGTAGTCTTCTCATATCTATGCGGCGTCAGCCACGAAGATATGAGACGACTTAATCTGGTTTACATAGAAGTAATGAATAATTATTATATCTTATCTTTTGTTCTTAAAAGTGTAATTAGTTTTGATAAAACAGGAATAGTGTCTCAAATTTTCCTGATGCAGCAACACCTTCAGAAGATGTTTCATAGTTATGAATTTGGAATGAAATCTTAATTGTGTCTATTTCTGGCATCAAATTGACACCTAATCACTTCTTTTGTATGGCAATATGAATCGCTGTACTATCTCGTTTTTTCTGGTTTTATTGCCAAAACCTGAAATTGTTGCCGACAAATGATAACACTTCTATGAAAATGATTAAATGAATGTATATGGTAAATCGTCGGAATTTTGTGCGACATAACAGTAACACTGGATGATATATATAAAATTGACAATCGGGTAAATTAGAAAAAGATCTTTTCCAAAATTAGATTAAGCATTCCATAATAAGATTAGGTCTATCAGTACACAATTTATACTTACATTTTCATGACCAAGAGCTTTACTAATATTTTGAAATGTTGACATCTTAAATTTGTTACGTCTTGTATATTCAACTTCTCCAATACCAACATCATGGAACCATGCTTTTTCAGTTCTTTTCCTTGATTTCATTTTCATGCTTAAATACAAACCAAATTCAGATAAATATTAGCATATTATTATGCGGTGTTGTTTAAATGAAGATCTGTTATGTTGAGGTCTAACCGATCCTTGTTGTCAAGTCATATATCTAAGTAGTCACGAATTGAAACAGATATAACATATATACGTGTTGTCCTTCAATTAATTTCACTTAAACAACAGCATAATACCATAACTATTTAACTACCTCGCAACAGGTTTTTTTTTTAAATAGTTAACGAATTCGTTAATAATACGTACGTTGGATCGAAACCATGAACTTCACAACCATATATTTTCGTAATGTCATCATCAAAAACGAAATCATTTCCTATCCTGAAATAGTTAGAAAAGAAATACTGTATATCCTACCTGCTATAGATTTCAGAGAATTCAGTTTGTGACGCGATGTGATTTGTTAACCGTGTACATTAAAGACACGGTGTATACAACAGTTCCTACTAGTAAGGTTCAGGGCAATAATTGAGCAAAAATGTAATCACATTTGTCGTAAATAAATGAATCCAAAAGGCATCTAAACTTGAGAGAATATTCCTTTTGGCCCAATACTGATTCAGAATCGTCAATATGGAACTCGTTTCACCTCTAGTGATATAGGCTTGACTTGCAAATTCATTTACTTTAGCAGAAATCGTTTTTAAGGTGATCTGCAAGATCAATCGATCCTGTTCAGCCCTTGACTAACATAACGGGGTGTGACTTGCAGAGGTGTTTGTTCATCTTATTTCCTTTATCGATTGTGTGTTTTTCGTTGATAGTGTTTAGGTCTTTGATTTTGTTTGCTGCGCTGACTTTGTTTGCCTCTTTATTCGCATCGAATTTCAAAAGAGAAACTTTTTTTAAGTATTTCAAGATAAGTTTTCTAGCACTTGCTAACATTTTTATTTCCTTTTTTGCATTAACCAGAAGTTTACGGATATCGAATGCTGATGCACTCAATGAGCTATAGTTTTGACATGCTATTTCAATTTGGACTTCTTTCTAAATCTTTGATTTTTGAAGTACTAAATGTTGTTTTAGATTTCAGACTACTTAAATGATAATGTATTTGTCTTTGAAACACGAACTGAAGCGCCATGATAGTGGAAGCTAATGTAAGCAGATGCATGCAAAGTACCTAAGATTTATATTCAATATAGAAGTATTGAATTTAGTTTATTGATACAAGATAAAATGACAGAAATATTGTTTAGTACCTTAAAACGTAAAAGTTAAAATATCTATAAAAAAAAATTGTACATTTCTGCTACGTTTGCTTGTTCATGTACACGTTAGTTCTGCGGTGTTGTCTTGGTTTATAAAATATCAAATGAAACATACTCACCCAAAGTCATATACAAGACAATTTACTGGTGGTCTATACTTAACATCATGACAAACGTTCCATCCACCATCTTTTAATATTCCAGGCCGTATAACTTGGGTGCAGTGGATTTGGAGTGATGTTAAGTATCTAAAACATAAAATAATAAGGAATTTATATCCGATTAAAAGTGCAAAAATAAGAAAGATATCATGATTTCTGTGTGATTAAAAGGAAAACTTCGTCATTATAAATATAATTGAAAAATATTTTTAAATTTATATTTGAGGCAGGCAATATTGGTAAAATGAAATAGTACTTAGATCTTGATTTACAAAATTGAATTTATTTAATTAAAATTATGATTTTGCTGCGCATTACACGAGTTGTTTAATTGTAACGTGGTTCGCTCGATGGCTAAGTTTGCAAAGTTGAAATATAAAACATTGGAGACAAGAACAGAACAACAGGTAAATTTTGCAAGAGAGAATTGCAACCTAAGCTTGATGTCAATTACATAAGTTCATGAGCGAACGCTGTCAATATGCAAGTGTAAAGTTGCGTGCAAAAATTAGGCCTATGTATCAGTAAAATACAGAAAAAGAATAATAAACGAAAAAAATAGAATATTTACTCATAGTGCCATCGCTTGATATTAAAAAATTAATCCCACGAAAAAGGTTTGACAAAGTTATTCAAGTTTTAAAACCAATAACACAGACTACACCTAATTGTTGACAGAAAGATAAAACAACTGTTCATTCATCAATGAAATGCGCAACAATGGGGAATAGTCCACTGGTACCAACATAAGAATAATATATATATATATATATATACCATCTTTGCCGCAAGTTTATTGTTTTCTGTTTGGTATTAAATTTTTAATTAAGATCCATTTATTACACCTTGTGATCCGTTTATTTGGCAATCGCCAATGGCAGTCAGCAGGGTTTAAGAACATTTGTTCTTCGACCTGTTAGTCAAATGCGTTTTGTTAAAATATACTTTTTCACTTTTTTGGTCTTTTGGAAAATGTTGTTTGTGCTGTATTTAGACCCCTCTAACAAGAAATTTGTTTTTGCATGCACACGTATAAAAATTGCGGTTTTTATCCAACGCAATCATAGGTTTGAACGTTGTTTTCAATTTAGACTTGTTTATATTTTTTCGTTTGGGCTTGTATTATATTTGCCTTCGTGTTCATATGATCCGTTCATCCTATTTTGACTCTTTCAAAATTTAAGAGTCTATCCTAAATTGAGGTAAATTATATGGCCTTCCAAATACCGTTTCGATTCCTAACATCACTGAAGAGACATTAATTGTCGAAATCCGGATATGGTGTACACATTTTTGCACCTCATGTTTGCGGTATACCAACTTTTCCGCAAGTTTATTGTTTTCTGTTTGGTAATAATTTAATAATAAGATCCATTTATTACACTTTGTGATCCGTTTATTTGGCAATCGCCAATGGCAGTCAGCAGGATTTAAGAACATTTGTTCTTCGACCTGTTAGTCAAATGCGTTTTGTTAAAATATACTTTTTCACTTTTTTGGTCTTTTGGAAAATGTTGTTTGTGCTGTATTTAGACCCCTCTAACAAGAAATTTGTTTTTGCATGCACACGTATAAAAATTGCGGTTTTTATCCAACGCAATCATAGGTTTGAACGTTGTTTTCAATTTATATATATATATAAACAATTCTAAATTGAAAACAACGTTCAAACCTATGATTGCGTTGGATAAAAACCGCAATTTTTAATGTTCTTAAACCCTGCTGACTGCCATTGACGATTGCCAAATAAATTGATCACGAGATGTAACATGGATCTTAATTATTAATTTAATACCAAACAGAAAACAATAAACTTGCGGAGAAGATGGGATACCGCAAACATGAGGTGCAAAAATTTGTACACCATATCCGGATTTCGACAATTAATGTCTCTCAATGATGTTAGGAATCGAAACGGTATTTGGAAGGCCATATAATTTACCTTAATTCAGGATAGACTCTTGAATTTTAAAGAGTCGAAATAGGATGAACGGATCATATAAACCCGAAGGCAAATATAATACCAGCCCAAACGAAAAAATATAAACAAGTCTAAATTGAAAACAAAACGTTCAAACCTATGATTGCGTTGGATAAAAGTCGCAATTTTTATACGTGTGCATGCAAAACAAATTTCTTGGTAGAGGGGTCTAAATACAGCACAAACAACAATTTCCAAAAGACCAAAAAAGTGAAAAGTATATTTTAACAAAACGCATTTGACTAGCAGGTCGAACAACTGATGTTCTTAAACCCTGCTGACTGCCATTGGCGATTGCCAAATAAACGGATTACCAGATGTAACAAAATAGATATTATTATTAATTTATTACCAAACAGAAAACAATAAACTTGCGGATAAGATGGTATATCGCAAACATGAGGTGCAAAAATTTGTACACCATATCCGGATTTCGACAATTTATGTCTCTTCAGTGATGTTAGGAATCGAAACGGTATTTGGAAGGCCATATAATTTACCTCAATTTAGGATGGACTCTTGAATTTTGAAAGAGTCGAAATAGGATGAACGGATCATATAAACCCGAAGGCAAATATAATACAAGCCCAAACGAAAAAAAAATATAAACAAGTCTAAATTGAAAAAAAACGTTCAAACCTATGATTGTGTTGGATAAAAACCGCAATTTTTATACGTGTGCATGCAAAACAAATTTCTTGGTAGAGAGGTCTAAATACAGCACAAACAACATTTTCCAAAAGACTAAAAAAGTATATATAGATATACCAGTACAACAATGTTAAATTTGTTCTTCCGCAAATTTGCAGATTTAACATTGTTGTGCTGATATTTAGAGTAATTATTAATATTATATGTGTTTTCAGCCGTGTATCACCTTCACTGGTAATCCAATGAGTACTGAAATTAATACTCTTGTGTAATTAAATAGAAAGAATAAGAAGAACAATACGAAATTTGCGTTACCTTGTATACAAGTCCGTAATTGTAGCATTATCATATGAATTTAATGTAGATTCGTCTGGAATTGTTAAATGTGTATCATCCATCTGCAAATATTCCAACAAAATGATAGTTAAAAATATCAAATCTGAGTTTTTGAAATTACGGAATTACTGCGTTATTTATTTCAATATAAGAAATATAATTAATATAAGATATTAAACGAAACAACAAAAAGTATAATTGTAAGCATCATATCCAAATGATCCTCAACAGGTCAGCAAATGCGTTTCCTTAGAAAGTTGCAATCGTAAATTTTACAATTCAGAAACTAAAACTTTTCTCAAAATCCCAATACTGACAAATCAAGATATGTCTGAGTGACTTAAGAAAACTTCACTGAATTCAGTCCTATCCAGGTTCGGCGGATTTACCATGGCTATATGAAGCCAACCCCTTTCATATGCATTGCAGAGTTAATATTTCGCTAGGAGAAACACAAAAACATTTCGGAAAAAAAAATATAAGATGACATCTGCACCATACATGTACCATCAGGTACCATTAGGTAAAAAAATCTACGAATGTTTAATGTGAATGCCAAATATCTTCACCTCCCGTTTGTATGTATGCCAATGTCATTGAGATTTTATGGAAGATCTAAAATCATTCAGAGCCAAGAAATAATAGGACAATTGCATATGTAAGTTATTAAAGGTCAAAGTTTCTTTGAAATACGATGTAATGTTTAGAAGGAATTATGGATAAGTATATTGTTGAAGCCAAATATTACTTCTATGTACCTTTTCTGGTTTGATAGTATTGTTGGGTTGCTGCCTTATCGATGTATATTCTACATCTTGTGTCCCTAATGCATTTTAGAAATCGTAATGCTACCCAATAATAAAAGCTAAGTCACCTCATTGTTAAAGTAGCAATGTTAAGAAACAAACCTTTTTCGATGTATCCCTGCAGTCCTTGTGCATCTAAAACATAAAAGTTAAATCTAAATGAGCAATTTGGAGAAAAAAATCCGATCTTACAGCTTACATTATAATTAATAATTAATTTACAATCTAGAAATGTTTTCTTTTCTTTTATTCGTATTTATATTTTTGTGTGTATCTAAGCACTTTGACTGCAAAACATAACGAAACAAAGAGAGGTAAACACTAAAGATTTTACTTTTTTAAAGATCTTTATGACTGACAGCGTATTTTATTTGAACCGTCTGGTTTATGATTATAAAGTTTGTTTTTAACAGTTGTAATTACAGAAGGCAAAAGCATCGAACTTCTAAGTAAATGACATGATAACGGTTACTCTCCTCAATAAACAAAACTGCATTTTCAGAATTGTTTCATTTGACTTGATTTGTTGGTTTTTTTTGGTCATTTCCTTCTCCAATTTGGATATCCTTTTAACATTGTCGGTTATGATTTCAGATAGCCTTTTAACATTGTCGGTTATAATTTCAGATAGCCTTTTAACATTGTCGGTTGTATTTTAAGAAATCCTTTTAACATTGTCGGTTATTATTTCATATGTCCTTTTTACATCGTCTGTTATAATTTTAGATATCCTGTTAACATTGTCGGTTATATTCTAGAATTCCTTTTAACATTGTTGGTTATAATTTCAGATATTCTTTTGACATTGTCGGTTATAATCTTGATGTTTCTATTTCCTTAAAAACAAGTTAAAGAATGTCAACATCATTTTTTTGTAAACTGATACACTTTGTACTTCGAAATCGAACGTGATGTGTAAAGGTTATAAGTTTTACTAAACGGTAAACTTACTAAACGGTAAACTAATTAAACGATAAACTTACTAAAGGGTAAACTTACTAAACGGATTTTCGTTAATTTGATATCGGTGAAAACAAAATCTTACAAAATGTAAATAAAGACATCCAGTTAGGAGTCCACGGGCACATCCCCATTCTTCTCTTGACCAAAATAATCTAAATCCTTCTTCATAGAGTGACCTGTAATGACGTAAGGCTGATTTATGGTCAATCCTCCCTCCTGACAAATAGTTCGTCCGTATCAACACCTGCTGAAATTTTTCTAATACAGCGGACTTTAAAACTGTGTCCATGACTTGCTTTGTTAAAGCACCAGCGTCGATGATAAGTACATCTTCTGTTCCCTAAAAGAAGTACAAAAATCAACATAAATGATCATAATGAATCTTCAAGACGTAGGGTCATAAGAAATGTTCCAACATGAAGTGTCATAAGAAATGTTCAACGTGAAGGAGAATCATAAAAAAATGTTCAACACAAAGGAAGGATCATGATAATGTTTAACATTAAGGGAATGATAATGTTCAAATGAAGGACGATAAGGAATGTTTCAACATGACGAATCATAAGAAATGTTTCAACATGAAGGATCATAAGATATGTTTAACATGACGGATTATGAGTATGTCCAGAAGAAGGATCATGATTATGTCCAAAGAAAGGATTATGATAATGTTAAACACAAAGAACATGAAGGCCCATAAGAAATGTTTCAACATGCAGGATCATAAAAAATGTTTCAACATGAAAGATCGTGATAATGTTCAAATGAAGGATCATGATAATGTTCAAATGAAGGATCATGATAATGTTAATCGTGATGGATTATGATAATGTTCAAATGAAGGATCATGATAATGTACAAACGAAGGATCATGATAATGTTAAACATGATGGATTATGATAATGTTCAAATGAAGGATCATGATAATGTTCAAATGACGGATCATAATAATGTTAAACATGATGGATTATGATAATGTTAAACATGAAGGATCATAAAAAATGTTTCAACATGACGGATTATGATAATGTCCAAAGGAAGGATCATGAGTATGTCCAAAGGAAAGATTATGATAATCTTAAAGATGAAGAACACGAAGGATCATCAGACATGTTTCAACATGAAGGATCATAAGAAATGTTTTAACATTAAGGATCATAAAAAATGTTCAACACGAAGAATTGTAAAAGAGAGGCTAAAGATACCAAAGGGAGATTCAAACTCATAAGTCGAAGATAAACTGACAACGCCATGGCTTAAAAGGAAAAAGACCAACAGACAAACAATAGTACAGAAAACACAACATAGAAAACTAAAGACTGAGTAACACGAACCCCACCAAAAACTGGGGGTGATCTCAGGTGTTCCGGAAGGGTAAGAAATGTTCAACATGAAGAATCATGAAATGTTTTAAAATTTACCAATAACATAGTCACCAGTGTGTTAACCTACACATATACCTTTTACTTAACTATTTTTTTTGTACGTTAATTGTTTGTCATGGTCATAGTAAACGTAGTAAAACATCTATAGGTCAATCATGGTCTGGTCCATTTACAACGGAGGTGTATAAAATTTCAAAGGTACGTGTATTTCATGGGTTGCATCGACTGCCGCGTGTTTGGTTTGATCTGGTTATTTCTTTGGTATAAGAAGTGAACTCGTTTTTATACATCTGTCCTACCAAAGTCTCGTGCCCTTATGATGAATGTGGGCAAATTACGTAATGCTGATTGGATACTGATCTCAGGTCATGAGGTCACTGACGTCAATATATTTGCTGGGTAAACAGAAGTTGAGATCCGTCGTTCAATCATGGGACCCTCCATGATTAAATAGTGAAGACGAACTCTATATCATCATTCCCAGAGACCTAACTTTCAACATTTACATACAATAACAATAAAAGTATTTGTAATTTTCATCAAATGTCATTAAATACGCGTTGGCTAACAGTAAACAACGATCGTGAAAGTAGAAGTGACTGTCTACTTAGTAGCCCGAAACAAACCTATAGCTTACCCCCTAAACCGTAACAATATTATCCAAAGAGCCATGAAAAGGAGGTCAAGGTCAGATGAAACTTGTCAGACCGACATGTTCACCTTACAATCATTTCATACACCAAATACTCTTGCTCCCAAGGCTAAAATGTACATTGTTCAATGAACCATTAAACAGGTCAGTAAAACCTGTCATACAGATATGTACTCCTCACAATCCTACCATACACCAAATACAGCGGATATATTATTTATAGTATATGAGAAACAGACCAAACCACAAAAAACTTAACATTGACCAAAAAACATGAAAATAAGGTCAAGATCCGATGAAATCTGCCAGTTGGGCATGCACACCTTACAATCATTGCATACACCATATATAGTTGACTCATTCCTTATAGTATCTATAAAAATAAGAAGATGTAGTATGATTGCCAATGAGACAACTCTCCACAAGAGACCAAATGACACAGAAATTAACAACTATTAAAGGTCACCCTCTACTTTACATTTCAAGCTCTTGCCTTTACATCTCCAGTGCTGTACTTTGCATCTCCAGCGCTGTACTTTGCATCTCCAGCGCTGGAATTCACATCTCCAGTGCTGGACTTTTCATCCCCAGCGCTCGACTTTTTATCAACATCGCTCAAATTTACATCTCCGGCGAAAATTTTGTATATATATACAGCGCTGAACTTCACATCTTCAGCATGGAACTGTATATCTTCAACGCTTGACTTTACATCTACAGTGCTAAGCCTAATATCTACAGCGCTCGAATTTATGTCATCTGCGCTGAATTTTACATCCTCAGCATAGTACAATATATCTTCAGCGCTGGACTTTACAACCTCAGCTCAGGATTTTCAGAGACTTTACATATCCAGCGCTAGACTTTAAAAACCATAATTGTATGAGATCAACTGTATGAGACTGTATAAGACTAAATGTATGATACTGCAAGAAACAAAATCCATGAGACCAATTGTATAAAATTGTATGAGATCAACTGCATGAGACTGAAACCAATTGTATGAGACTACATGAGTACAAATGTATGAGACTGTTGGGGACTGTATGAGACCACTAGTGGCATGACGCTTTTTCAGAACACCTGTATGAGATCAACTGTGTGAGATTGTATGATATCAACTGTTTGATACCAACTGTTTGATACTGTACTAGAACAACGGCATGAGACTGCACGAAACTAACTGTATAAAACTGCAAAGATCAACTGTATGAGACTGTATGAGACCAACTGTATGAGACAAACAGGACTTCGTAGATTTACACTCGACCAATTGTGTCTAAATGACATAATAAAACGTACATATATGGGTGGATGTTCATTAAATATCTAGAACTATCTAAAGATATTAAACTAACCATCGAAATAACAGCATTTTTATTACTTAACTTTGGCACTAACTTCTTGAAAAATGAAAGGAAGTTCTCATACAGATTGGTTGAATATTATTCTATTTATGAAAAAGTTTTGCGATTGAATTCAGAATTTCTAACTTCGATACCACTCTTTCAAATTCTCTTTATTAAAGTTTTGCGATTGAATTCAGAATTTCTAACTTCGATACCACTTTTTCATATATAAAAAAACGTACATAATAAGATTGTACGGAGCCCTGTTGGTTTCACACAGATTATAAAGTGTCTTTTAAAGTCCTGCGCTGAAGATGTGTAAAGTCTAGCGCTAGAGATGTAAAGTCTAGCGCTAGAGATGTAAAGTCTAGCGCTGGAGATGTAAAGTCCAGCGCTGAAGATGTAAAGTCTAGCGCTGGAGATGTAAAGTCCAGCGCTGGAGATGTAAAGTCTAGCGCTGGAGATGTAAAGTCAAGCGCTGAAGATGTAAAGTCTAGCGCTGGGGATGTAAAGTCTAGTGCTGGAGATGTGTAAAATCTAGCGCTGGAGATATGCAAAGTCTAGCGCTGTAGATGTAAAGTCAAGCGCTGGAGATGTAAAATCAAGCGCTGGAGATGTAAAGTCTAGCGCTGAAGATGTAAAATCAAGCGCTGGAGATGTAAAGTCAAGCGCTGAAGATGTAAAGTCAAGCGCTGAAGATGTAAAGTCTAGCGCTGAAGATGTAAAGTCAAGCGCTGGAAATGTAAAGTCCAGCGCTGGAGATGTAAAGTCTAGCGCTGGAGATGTAAAATCAATCGAATTATACGAATTCCAAACAAAAAGAAATTAGAAAATTCAGCAAATAGTCAGAAACTCACTAAAATAAGTAAGAAAATACCAAAACGAGAATAAAAAAAATTATAGACGGAAGAAGATATAAAGCACACTATGACCAGCAAACAACCATTAGATAGCTGATAGTGGGGGCATAAAGAACCCTCAGATAGCTGATAGTGAGCATAAAGAACCCTCAGATAGCTGATAGTGAGCATAAAGAACCCTTATATAGCTGATAGTTGGAATAACGAACCCTAAGATAGCTGATAGTGGGCATAACGAACCCTCAGATAGCTGGTTGTGGGCATAACGAATCCCTAGAAAGCTGAAAATGGGCATAAAGAACCCTTAGATAGCTGATAGTGGACATAAATAACCCTTAGATAACTGATAGTGGGCATAAAGAACCCTTAGATAGTTGATAGTGGGCATTACGCAGCAAAGAACAAAACACCCTCAGATAGCTGATAGTGGGCATAGCTATCTGAGGGTGTTTTGTTCTTTGCTGCGTAATGCCCACTATCAACTATCTAAGGGTTATTTATGCCCACTATCAGTTATCTAAGGGTTCTTTATGTCCACTATCAGCTATCTAAGGGTTCTTTATGCCCACTATCAGCTATCTGAGGGTTCTTTATGCCCATTATCAGCTATCTGAGGGTTCTTTATGCTCACTATCAGCTATCTGAGGGTTCTTTATGCCCCCACAATCAGCTATCTAATGGTTGTTTGCTGGTCATAGTGTGCTTCATTTCTTCTTCCGTCTATAATTTTTTTTATTCTCGTTTTGGTATTTTCTTACTTATTTTAGTGAGTTTCTGACTCTTTGCTGAATTTTCTAATTTCTTTTTGTTTGGAATTCGTATAATTCGATTGATTTTACATCTCCAGCGCTAGACTTTACATCTCCAGCGCTTGACTTTACATCTCCAGCGCTGGACTTTACATCTTCAGCGCTGGACTTTACATCTCCAGCGCTAGACTTTACATCTTCAGCGCTTGACTTTACATCTCCAGCGCTAGACTTTAGAACTCCAGCGCTGGACTTTACATCTCCAGCGCTAGACTTTACATCTCTAGCGCTAGACTTTACATCTCCAGCGCTAGACTTTACACATCTTCAGCGCAGGACTTTAAAAGACACTTTATAATCTGTGTGAGACCAACAGGGTCCGTAAGATTGCATGTAAAAGTCTTACCGTTTTTGTTTTGATTTTATCGAGAAGTTTAGTCAAATCCATCTCAGTGTTCTGACCTGTTGGTTCACTGCCTTTTTTTGAAACTACTAATTGTTTACTAAGAGTCCAACCTGTGTTTTGTCTGAAAAAAAATCATTTAAATTTTAGAAACCAATTATCACAACGGAAATAGTATCGTTAACCTTTAATTCTTATTTTTTTTCAATCGGTTAAATAGTTCTAGAAGAAAATCTTTTAAGTTACTAGCAATCAGGGGGAAAGACACATGTTTGTGCGTAAGAAGCCGTTAAAAGTAAAAAAAATCAATTGGGTCACTTCAATTTTGGGCCAGTGATCAACATGTAATGTCAAGAAAAGATCGAGCAAGTGTTTGGTAAAAACAAGATGATCACTGAAGCGTGGCTACGGAAGTGAAGCTTATTATTTCCTAAACGTGAAGGGAAAGGATGTTAACACAACATACAAAGTGTTATGTTATTTTAAAATTACTTTTTAAAAAACACAACTTTTCACAACTAAACGTTGGAAATTTGTAAAAATTCGAAAATCAATTAATTAAAACTATGAGTGCGTAGCCTAATGATCATGAGATCAAATGCAGGGGTTCTAATGAAATAGCAAACAAAGTATCAGGTTTTCGTTACCGCCTGAATTATAAGCCTTTGATGAGTTTTTATAACCACTGGATCAATGCCACTGCTAGTGAATGTTACGTCCTCGAGGGCTTTACCGACCCAGTAGTCAGCACTTAGTGGCAGAAAATATCATTGATATGTTAATGGTCTGTAAATTATCTGTTTCTAAATTATTATTCGAAAGACTCAAGGTTTTCTACTCCTAGGCATAGATTGCCTTTGTCATATTTAGTAAAACATTTCGGAATTTTCGGTTTTCAATGTTTTTTAACTTAGTATTTGATTTGACCTTTGAACTGGTGAGTCTTATGTAGAAGAAATTCGCGTCTGAAGTACCAAATTAAAAGTCTATTATTTTTAATGAGATTTACAACCAATTGGTCGATGCCACTGCTGGTGGACGTTTCGTCCCCAAGGGTATCACCGGCTCAGTAGTCAGTACTTTTGTTGTGATAGGTAATATCATTGAAATGTTAATTTTCTTTACATTAACTGTTTATAATATATCAAATTATTCTAAACACTCAAAGGGTTTTTTTCTACCCACAGAAATAGATTTTTTAAGTCACTGGACATGACCAAGCGACCAGGATTTATTTACTGCATACAGCTAAAAGTTTGTGAATGCAGATGCAAATGTATACAAACAATCAATGATTTGGCATCACTACTTATATAGTCAAATGTAAACATGACTCACTTCCAAATATTCGTTGAAGATTATAAAAAAAACTAAATTGCATAATTCTTCACAAAGAAAGTTTGTAGTTCTATAACATCCATGGTAAATAGTAAATCAAAATTTGACCACACCTTTCTATTCAAATCATTGAAATTTAAATCCCACAGTTACTGCAAACACAAACAGCGAATCAAACGAAAAATGTGAAAGCTTTCGATTGGAGAGCATCTTTCTAAGAGCTTTGTTTAGGTTTGATAAAGAAAAAAAAACAATGTCTATTTTAGTTTGGTCTAAATCAAAATTTGTTAGAGGGAATTTTTTTGTCGCCAGCTTAATTTAGTGTGTTTTGCTTTGTTTATTTTTTTTACGTTCAAGATATGAAGTCTTTTGGTCTTTCACTTCAAATTAAAGAAGCCAGTTTATGGTAATGAAGAAAAGAATATATAATAATTCAAAATTCGCAGAACCGAAGGGTTGACTGGGACATGGAAGTATGGTCATCCACTTACTTCTCACTTCCGGCAGTAAAGCATTTATGAAAATGGGGCGTCCGCTTGGTTGTTTTAGATGTATGTATACGATGTAGTCACATCCGTTCGGATTTGGGACGTCAATTCATATTTTGACTGAATGTTAGTCCAGGGAAAATATTGTATCCTTATTAAGGGCGATAATTTTTCTGTCGCTAAGCACACTTAAAAGAAAACTTTATTAATATTCATTTGAACCTAAATACGTTACTGAAATTCTAAACCTATTCCAAAATGAGCGATTTTTGTTATTCTGATCTGTGAAGATGAAAAAATTTAAATCATATTTTAAGAAATGATTGTAAAATATATATTCACAAAGCCAGGATACCATTTGAAATATTTTATTTAATTCAAGTTGACAAGTTTAAAACTTTTATCTACAATTTACCACATAGTAAAAACTGTTAATAACTTTTTGACCTTTCGAAAAATTATGTATGATAAAATTGATAAATATCTATACATACTTTATACTAAAGCGTTCCACATTAGAATTAAGCTTCTGTCTCACACTCTTCTCATTCACCTCATCGTTGACGGGACTGCAACAAAAATAACTTTTTTTAAACTATTCACAAAAAAGCAACGGAACTTTAGAACATCAGAAACACTTTGGCAAAATCAGTATTGTTTTAGTTTTACGATAATAGTGAGAGATTTCTTTTTTATGTACATGATTTTTAAACCCTGTATTCTTCAACTTGACCTTCTCTATGACATTATAGTTTTATTCAGAAGAATACAAAGTCTAGGGTAGAAAAAAACACTTCAACTGCAAGCTTCTGATTATACCATTACTTATAGATGCATCAGGTACAAAATTTAGACCATAAGTGATAAGTTTCAAACATTTTATTATACTAAAATCATAAGCAATAATAGACTGTAATGCTGGCTTGGGTATTGAAATATGGTTTGCTGGACTTGACAACCGTCCACCAGTTAGATCTATATTGAGAGGGAGATGCGCTGTTGTAGAAGATTGTAAATTATCACCGTAAATACCAAAATTATACAGAATAACAGTTATATTTGATTTCTCCTTTTTGTTAGCACGCACTTAAATTATCAACCTCTACATGGTCTAATATAGAGCAGTGAATATTCATCTCTTCATAGCTTTATATCTTAACCCTATAGCTCATATACTTATTTGTTTTTTTTTTATAAGAGAGTGATTGTGAATGACATTCTTAGGTCATATAATATCAAAGATGAAATCTGTTGATAATTTAACGTGTCTTTTGGGTTTATCCTCAGATGCAGGAACAGAGTAGAAATTTTACATGCTTGATTATTTTGTCTTGTTCCTGTACTGAAAAAAAAATGGGTGGTGTGGTATGATTGCCTACAGGACAACTATCCCCCGGAGACGAAAGGACGAGGGTGTAAGCGACTATGGGACACCGTACGGCGTTCTACAATGAACACAACACATACACAGGGAAATTTCACTCACATGAATTTCACGTGAGCAAAATGTGCCTGTGTATGGGATAGTAATCTATAAAAGGCCCCGGCATGACAAAATGCGAAAAAAATCAAAATATAAAACCAACGGCCTGATTAAGTAAAGGAATATAAAACCAATTACCATATGCCAATAGTTTAAAGAAAAAACTTTCATCGACATTGTCCATTGAATATGGATTATTTTATATACTATAAAGTTTATTATAGTTGTTTTCCCTATTCCTATCCTAACCTGATTGCATATATCATTGTATTTGCATTGGGCGTGTAGCATCCACTTTGACAAAACGTCCATCCATCCTTAACACTTCCGTGACGGCTGTGCAGTGGACAGTATGTCTGCAATGTACTCCCATATCTAAAATATAATAATAGCACAAATTATTATGCGTACATAAAATGTATCACTTATAAAAGTAACAGATACAGAGACGAAAGAAAAGTAATACGTCAAATATACACATGCAACCTTTGGACTGTCCTGCTGATCATGAAAATATAGTTTAAATCCTACTGTTAAGTAGTTAGAAATTAAGTTTAGCACTAAAACATAATATGTATCGTCCAACTAATGAAGTCATGGTCAGATCCTTACAATACAGACGAAAATTCCTTACATACATAAAGGTTGTATAGTATAGTATAGTATAGTACACTGATCGAAAAGCTGACCCGATCATTTAGATCTAATGTGTTCCCAAGGAATATGTGATAGAGGTCAGGAGACGTTAATCATTTGTAGTTCCGGGCAGTCGCCTGCATATCCTAGATAACCATTCCTTGTTGTCTGGTGTCTATTAAGATCGGTTCAGTCTAATTATATTCGGACCTTTCAGTAGTTGTTATTTACCTGTACACATCAACAGCATACTGAATTATCCGAAAAGTTACTGTTCTGAATTTACTGCAAGTGAATAGTATTGAATTTACCGCAGTGGATAAGAATGAAAATTCACTAAAAGACTAAACATGACTGTTTTATTGTTCAGACTTTTCAGATGATGTTAAGATAAAAATTATCGTCCAGGAGTAAAATTCATCTACTAGTGAATGCACCGTGAATCAAGTGTCGTTTGCAATTTAGCAATATATTCTAAAATTAAAAACCAATTGTTCGCAGAACAATTGAAGGTCTTTCCACCAGTAAGGATCAGTGAGTGAGTATTTGATATGAAAATATTAAAATTTTGTTTTAAATGTCAATTTCCGCGTCAAATGACAGCTTATTGTACGCTGATTCCAAAAATATATGGTTTCTATACAAAAAGATATAAATAAGGGAGATAATTTTTTACTTCCGGTTTTAAATATGTTACTTCCGGTATTGTTTGATAGTTTACTTGACACTGGTTCCAAAAATATATGGTTCTATATACTTTTACAATAATTTAGTACAAAAAATAGCTACTTTCGGTTTACAAAAGGTCACTTCCGGTTGACTTTTTCAATGTCACATTGCTTGCAACCTAATGCAAAAAGTCCCTTGTCTTTATCATGTATACATATGAGGTAAAAGCAAAGGTCAAAATCTAGAACGTTAAATTTACCTATGACCTTGAGCTCAATTTCAAGGTCATAAACCAAGGACCTCAAATCAAAAGACTCTAGGCCTCTACTTTATATTGTTAATGATATATATTTCCATACGACTAATATTAGATATAAAAGGGGGGAAAACTCGCATCAAATGTCTACGTACCCTTTCAACTAAAATTTACGTGTTACGACATGTCGCAACTAACAATTGTGTGAAAATATTTTGTCGATATCTTATATGATTTCTAAAAATAAGAGATAACAAGCCAAAATCAAAATTTTGAACATGACCTTGACCTTTTATCTTTACCTCATTTTCATTTTTATGGACCAAGGACCTCAAATCAAAAGACCCTAGGCCTCTATCACTTATGGTTTTCCAGTTACAAATACATTTCACATATATCAAATACAAAAGGGGAAATAACTCTCATATGGAGTCTTCGTAAAGCTTCGGTCTAAATAAAACCTAACATCCTGAGGATATAACGAGCAATTTGGAAAAATAAATTTGTCGCTTTCTTTTACGGTTGCGGAGGAGATCTCATAACAAGAAAAACAGTGTTTGGGGAGATAACTCTTACAAAGAAAAGTGTTCGGTTAAACAGGGTCAGTTTCAAAAGCGTATAGACTGTATGATATCATATACCAAAAAACTAAGTGACATCTTTTGAAACAAAAATACACCGCAAGAAAAAAATTAGGCGGAAGAAAAAAAAATAATCAGAAGAAAACCAATAGGTCTTTCCACGGAAAGGTGGAAAGACCTAATAAAGAAGAATGAGTTTAGAGGAATTATTTATATCATCGTCATTATTATCAAAATGGATCATTATAATGCTGTCATCCGATTTGCACAGTTGGACAAAATTATCCTAATATAAATATCTGCTATTAAACTACTGTCTAATGAATTCAAGCTCAGTCGCTGTCTATTTAAATCCGGTGAGAAAACTAAATACAAATTAATAACAAAAGCACCATGGGTGCTTAGTCGAGTTGCGAACTGCGAACTTTGTTGATTTGTATTAGAAGAAAAAATGTTTGTGACGGAACTGATTTCTTATTATTATTTTGGTAATGAATATTGTAAAGTTTGTTGATAATTTATATCAAATGATTGAAAAACAAAAAATTTGGTAAACATTAAGTCTATTGCATCTATAACCTTGACATTTGATCAACTGACCTCCAACTTAAAGAAGTATTTTTCATACCTAGGAAAATTATCCAGCAACGATTGGTAAAGACCTCATTTAAGGTTTAAAAAATTGCTTGGAATCGAAACATTTCATAAAAAGTCAGACTCCTAGTATTTATTCGTTGGGTGACTTTGACCTTAGATTCACTGACACTAATATTAAAAGGGGTATTGTTAAGGGGCATTTTCAAACTAAAATTTGTGATCTTTGGACATATGATTCAAAAGATTTCATCCAGAACTTAAAATTTGGCATAACAAAAGTTGATTAATTTCTTCTAACCTAAACCATTGACCTATAGTTACTTCAAAACCGATAGGTGTGTTTCACCAGAGGCGCTTTACCCACCAAAGATTAGTAAAGATATGATTTATAGCGCGAATGATATTGTCTGGAAAGCTTAACTCTTCTTAAAATTTTAGTCTCTTTATAGGTACTGGTCCTAAAATCAAGTGCAGTTTTTTTGTCATTGAAAGCTATGTTTCGCGAAGGTTGGACAAGTGCCAGTGGTTCAAATATGTGACCCGTCATGACATTTCCAGGCTTATGGAGGTATAACGTCATTGTGAGAAAAACACCATAAACTATGAGCGTTATGCGAAATTTTGTAAACATTCATGTTTATTTCTATAAGTCAGTCTGATTAAAATTTAGATCTATCGCCAACTTATATGAGCATAACCAAATATGAGGTGTATGTTTTAATTGGATTGTTCTATAAGTTCTGATGCTTTTAAGCATTAAATATGAAATATGATTTAAAGCTTTTCAGTCTTAGATACATGATTTTTCATTACATTTTTCATTTGCTTTGATCTTACTCTCAGTAACTGCGATTACTCTCATATCTGTACTTTGTGTCTTTTGTGTTTTTATCAGTTTTTGTGTGTGCTATGTATCGATCTGATGATTTAAACCCTTTCAACAGATTTTTATAGTTTGCTTTTATGTTATACTGTTACACCAATGTCCCAGGATAGGGGAAGGGTTTGGCGCCAGCAAACATTTCTAATCCCTTCACATTTTGTTTGCGCCTGTCACAAGTCAGGAGCCTGTAACTCAGTTGTTGTAGTTTGTTGCTGTGTATCATATTTTTTACATTTATTGTTTTGTACATAAATCATGCCGTTAGTTTTCTCGTTTGGATTGTTTTACATTTGTCATTTCGGAGCCTTTTATAGCTTACTATATACATGTATGCGGTATGAGTTTTGTCATTGTTGAAGGCCGTACGGTGACCTTTTGTTGTTAACTTCTATGTCATTTGGTCTCTGGTGGAGAGTTGTCTCATTGGCAATCATGCCACATCTCCTTATTTTATATTTATCTAAAGGCAAGGAACTTATCATAAACCGCAACATGAAGAAAAAAATTCTGTATATTCTATTTCTAAAAAACATGAAAATTTAAGTAAAGCACATTTTTCTTCCGTATTCTTTTCATTGGTGCAGTGTACATCACATTCTTTAAATGCTGTACTACACTCTTTTTGTTAACAAAACATTACCAATGATACTTTACTCTCAATTTATTCACCATTCAAAGTGTATCCAATGATAAAAACACAGTTATACACATTCATGAATGTAACCTTACGATTTATTCGGGGTTATTGTATTCTAATATGATATTATATATCTTTTAAAGTATCTTAGTATCCGACTCTTTTGTAAAATCATAAAATCCAACCGCATTCAAGAACTGTAACAGTTAATATTCTTGAATTTGCCATTTTAAACATTTCAACTAAAGACTGTCCGTCTCCCATTTTACATACTTTTCAACGCTTTTGCCGACATATATGTGTATATGTGTAAATTTAGAATCTGGTGTAAAATATTTTAGTTTCCATAATAATACAAGTGACTTTAAAAAGATCCGTCTGTTTATCAAAAGAACAAGATGTATTATATAATTGTGTCTATATGTTAGATCTAGTCAGTGTACTATGTAAGCCGAAAGACGCGAAAAACTGTGATGTATTATTAGATGCCTAAAATCCTCCAAATATCCATACGTTAGTAAACAAAAAGAACAGAAACAATATGAGACATTTACCATAAACGTCCATAAAAGTCGTAAGATATGTTAGCATGGTAGAATCAAAATAGAATGATCTTATGATCTTATAAATTGGTTAAATTAATATATGAATTGAAAGTAATTCAAATTCAAGACTGTTTTCAGACAGTTCCTTCAATTTAATCTAGATTTAATTAAATGATGTTTGGTAGTTATGAAGAAGGTATAACACTTTACTTTACATTCTTGACAAGAACATAAATCGGAAGAAGTTCTACGTTGTTTTGTTTTGTTTTTTTTTTTAAGTGGAAATAACTTTATCCTGCATCAACTAATAAAACAAGTTTTCAATGTGATAAGAATTCAAAATTCTCTGCTCTATAGAGTTTAACTTTTTATAGTAAGAATCATTTGAATTGCATAATTAGTATAAAGGTACCGTATCAAATACATTATTGTGTTAAAAGCGTATTTGAGATGTCATTTTATAAACTACTTCCAAAACTGTTACGCTTCACATGCTACATGTATGTGTGGTAGACTGTTAAACTTGAAATAACAAAAAAGCTACTATAAGCTCCATTGAGATACATAACTAATTGTATTGCAAGTTTAAATTACATTTACAAAAATACCCATTACACTGTCATTTCTACAAATCTGTCATAATAACTGGACAGGATTTTTCCTTCAGTATGTACTGGATAAATATGAATTTTAGAATAGGTACCCCCATAAGCCTGAAAATTTTTTTGCCTCACCCCCTATGGATATATCTAATCCTCTATGGATCCGTAGGGATCAGTAACAAATCATATAACTTATAATAAGAGATGGGACCATAAACCGATTTATAGTTTTTTTTCTTAAGCGTGCAAGGAGAGTTTGACAAGCAATGTTTGCAATGTAAATCTATACATTGTCTACTATTCAAATTTATATTAATCAATAATTTCATAGTTGCATATAAGAAAGTATATATTTCAGAACTTGAACAGATCTAACGTTAATATAATTTGGTCAAATTCGTTGACAAACCTTTTATATAAACAGGCGATAACATTGTCTGGTAGTGTAGAAAACAGTTCCTCTGATGGGATAATAAAGTGTCCTTTGTTGTCTAGATATGATTCTACCTATAAGAATAAGACTTTATTGTTTAAAATTGTCTATGTGGTTAGCAGACTGTGCCTTGTTTCAACTCCCTCAAACAAAGTTGACCTTAGATAAATTTTGCTATTTTTTTAGGTCCTTTTTGGTCATATTGCTCTTCAACTGTTAAGGTTATTATACATTCTTGGCTTTCAAATATTCGGCTTTGAGCATTCCTGATGAAGGTAAATCCAGAAAAGTGCTTCGGACGCATGAAATTTATAAGGTGCTGTTTTCATTTTTTTGTGGGATCACATGACTGAATTTAATTCAATCATCTATTGTCAAGGAATTACGAAATTTTTAACAGATATGTTAGTAAAGTCTAGTAAGTGATTAGTTTACTCTTAGTGTGAGACTTTTCTTGTTATGTTTGCAAAACTGCCTTTTTCCCGAATTCAATACTCTTCCGGACTTTTATCACAAGTAGACTGAAAATGAGTGTCGAGAGTGAAGTGTTAATTCATCTGAAGAACTCAATTTCGCCTCGTTTTGAAGTAAAGTTTGATGCTGCTCATTCTCTCTTTTATTGACGTTATCTTGTAGTTTCTTGTTTTCAATGTATTTTTTCTATCCCAAGTTTCTACAGATTAATGAACCATTTTTGCAAAAGAAACATATGAGCGAAAGTTTTAACGAATACGTAGACGACAGTCACGTGATCCCTATTTGACATTTTGTTAAAGATCGCATTTGATCATTTGCGAAATGTGTGATCAGTTTTTTCTGAATATAATTTTTTTTTTTCACACTCCCAAAAAATTATCGACTAAAAAAATAATCTTACGAGTATTTAATTGCAATGTTTCTTCTGGATCAATTCTGAGAGGTAATGCTTATATTCGATAGTTTGTACAGCCGAGGATACATAATCATTTATAGACACAGTTGTCCAAACAACTAAAGAATCTTAGATGAACTATCAAAACTTTAAACCGTCGAAGAGAAAATTCGTTTGTTATATTTAGAATATGATCTATAAAATTGGTATTAGTTATACATCAGTGCAACAGTTATCAAATAACACCATAAACCACATTCGAGAAGGTAAATGAAAGGGTTATATTCGTTCCCTTTGTTATTTCTCTTGAGAGATTAAAATCTGAGGGTTGTGATTTCCAAGATTTCAAAAAAGTATTATTAAACCCAGCCACATGTTCATGTTGGAATTTTTAATGGCAGATTTTTGTATAGTCTTTTTTGTGTCTTGGGTTGCTGTCTGATTGGCGTAAACTCTACATCTACTTTTATTCGTTATTTCTTGATGTTAACTGAGTATAATTTTTGATATTGATGATAGGAAACTAAATAATTGTGTTCTTACTGTAGCTAGACAATGTTTATCTCCTTTTAATGGATATTTGCGAACTTCAGTTCCCTTTATTTCTGTTACAACAGTTTTTGAATATATAAAGTTGGCTGTCTGCAATAAACGAATATAAGAAATATGCATATCATTTACATATATTAAAGGAGAGAAAATGAAGATAAACAAAAGAAGCAGCAATTTACTGTAGATAAAATAAATCCCCTTTTATATGAAAGTAAAAAACAACAAAAATGTTGTGTAATAACAAAGTTTTCTACTAAATGTTGGGGTGCTCAAAATTCGACACTGGAAACGTTTTCTGGATACTTTCTATAATTCAGCGAATAGATGTACTTCATATTTCATGACATGAAGATAATGACCAAACATAAATCTTGAAACCTTGAACATGAAAATGATGTTAAAGCTAAATGGGCTATTTCAGATTGACAAATATTCCTCACAAACAATTAACATACCCAATCGTGTTGACATAATTATCATGTGCCGTTATTGTGGAACATATTCTAATACTGAAATTTTTTCTTGTCCACTAAATGATGTCAAGGTCATGTATCAGACATTTCAGCAGAACATTTATTCCTAACTACCAATCAATCCACTTTACAAGTATATGTTGACCTACCATGAAAAATTACATACCTCGTCATAAAAACACTTAACAACTGATTCGTGAAAATGAGGTGACAACGAGCGCTTAACTAAGGTTCTTATAAACAGCAACCATACAATTGTTTTCCTATTGGGGACAATATATTATGGAGATATTTGCAAATTTTGATCGCTGGAGCTCACGGAAAAGTAATACCTAAGGTTTGCATACCTCAACTTTCGTCGCAGTAAAGACAAAAACAAAAACAAAGAAAATAAACTTACTTGTATTATATCCTGTAAAGTTATTGTAATCTTTTATTTTTAGAGGTATATAATTTCTTTAAAATATACATACACTAGCTGTTTCATCTTTTTTGTTGTCAAATCCGATTGGGAAATATATGGCAGCTAGAAGTGCAGCGGATATAACGCAAACAAGTGTGAATAAGGAAAGGCATGGTCGTCTTGCCATATCTCTACAAAGTATAATCATTGATATATGATTTATGAAAAGTCTTGCCATATCTCTATAAATTATAATCATTGATATATGATTTATGAAAAGTTTTGCCATATCTCTATAAAGTATAATCATTGATATATGATTTATGAAAAGTCTTGCCATATCTCTATAAAGTATAATCATTGATATGTAATTAATGAAAAGTCTTGTCATATCTCTACAAAGTATAATCATTGATATGTAATTAATGAAAAGTATTGTCATATCTCTACAAAGTATAATCATTGATACATAATTAAAGAAAATGCTTGCCATATCTCTACAAAGTGTAATCATTGATATATGATTAAAGAAAATGCTTGCCATATCTCTACAAAGTGTAATCATTGATATATGATTAAAGAAAATGCTTGCCATATCTCTACAAAGTATAATCATTGATATATAATAAATGAATCAGCTTAAGTTACGGACAGAAATAAAATTGTTCTGAAAATGATATAAATTTTATATGACCAAATATATCAACACGGAAGCTATTGTAGCAGAATGCTCTGGAAGAAAAAAAATTAAAATATATATCCATATCCTCGCTCAAACGGAAAAAAGAAAATTAGGATGTCTATCCATATCCTTGTTTAAACGGAGGAAAAAAGCAGGTTGTCTATGCATACCCTTGCTCAAACGACAGAAGAAATATATGATGTCACCATATCCTCGTTTAAACAGGAGAAGAACACTAGGATGTCTTCATATCCTCGCTTAAACGGAAGAATGCAAAATAGGATGTCTATCCAAAATATCCTTGCTTATGCAGAAGAAGAAAAAATAGTATGGCTATTCATAACCTTGCTTAAATGGGAGAAGAAAAATAGGATATCTATATCCTTGCTTAAACAGGAGAAAAAAAATAGGATGTCTATTCATAACCTTGCTTAAATTAGAGAAGAAAAATAGGATGTCTATCCATATCCTTGCTTAAATGGGAGAAGAAAAATAGGATGTATATCCATAATATCCTTGCTTATACAGAAGAAGAAAAATAGGATGTCAATCCATATCTTTGCTTAAACAGAAGAAGAAAAATATGATGTCAATCCATATCCCCGCTTAAACTTTCATTTAAATCAATAAAATCGTCAATGATTTACAAACTGCTACATTTGTACTTATTTACAAAACCAACCTGCGCTATGTATATAAAAATATGTCAAGAAGTTCTCTCTGTGTCAAGTTTACAAGCTGGAAATGGACAGATAAAACTCACTGTTTATGAATAAATTTTGATTGACGCCGTCTCTTTTCCGCACAACATGACCTTGGCTTTCTTTTTTGTGCAGGAGTAAATAATACAAGAGTTATTTCTACATGGCATTTTCTGTATCAGCCGTAGTATCAGCCCGAGACTCCCATATCGGACCGATGGCTATAATTTAGGTGTTTGTTTGTTTTACCGGCAATATTTCCTTTTGACCCCCCCCCCCTTTTGTTTGTTTATCTAACCGTCAAGATTTCCATTTGAACCCCCTCCCCCTTTTTTCGGTATAGTTTACTTATAACGTCAACAAGGAGTTCAAACGGAAGTCTTTCCGAGTAATTTTCGAAGTGTAAACTCGGCCATTTTTGTCGAATTGTTATGAACTTTTACGTGTAAACAAACGAGATACGGACAAATATACCGACAGGAAAAACATATCGAGACTTGAGAAAAATAAACTCAGATAATACAATCTCTAAAACTTATGTAAAATACTATATGTACGTCTCAATGAGATTGATGAACAGTCTGGTGGTCCACACGCATTTCTCAGGGCAGCATTGGAAGTAGATAAAGCTCTCACAAATAGAGAAATGGGCGCTTAATGTTTTTGGTAAAATCTTTGTGTATATATGTCTCTGACCAGTGTTTATGGCCAGTGAGTGTGCACTTGTTCTTAATTTGGTGAGTTTTTTCTATGATGTTTTGGAATATCAAAGTCCTAATATTGTTTGTTTACCTTATTCCGTTATAAAGCAATTTATGAAACCTTATTTACACACAAAAACGATGTTAATTGGGGCTTCATCGGCTGGGACAATAACATACTTGTCATGACATTTGCTTCGCAACATTTATATAGATATATATAAAAAGTCCGGACAAGTACAACTTTCATACAAAAATATGTCATAGGGCCGTAATTCCGCTAAAAGTCAGGCATCCGGAACGAAAAGTAAACTAGATCTGTAAAATATCATTATACTCTGAAGTATCTAAAGTTATATAAAAAAATATAAGGCATTATGAAAAGAATAGACAACTGTTCAATTTAATGACGGAAGAGCAAATGTCCGACTTAGTGACGGGAGTATAATTGCTGATCATGACAGAGATAGTGACATTAATGACTCTGCTTGCAAGAAGCCAAGAAGCCAAAAAATGACATTCGGTGGTTAGGATATTTGTGTCCCGATTGCAATAAAGTGTTATAAAACAATCTCTGGTTTTCGTGGTTATACATCTAAACAAAAAATGGAAAACAGACTGAAACCTATTTGTGCTTCACATCTATCTAATATATAAATTTTTTTTTAATTATTATTATTACTGTTAATTTTAGGGTTAGCTTGTGTAAGAATCATTTCTGAAACCTGAATGGATTTCACAAAATTAATGTACTTATACGATTGCATAAATAAAAATCAAGAGTTAAAGATTGCACTTCTGTAAATACAGACAATGCAATTTCAAATGGGAACTCCAACTGTGCCAATTTTATCTATGAAGTTTTTAAAAAAATGATATCATGGAAAGTGAAGTTCACATGCATTATCAATTTTAGCTGAGGTTAAAACAGGGTTGTGCGGCATATTTTCAACCTTTATATGCCTAAAACTTATAAGAGTATAAACTAACACTAAAATTCTGTATACCCCTCCTTTTACTTTTTGTCTTTCTGAGAATTTAATTTGACTGTTATTTAAGTATCCGAATGTCTTTATACTGGTAAAACTTCCAAGTTGTGTTTCAATGAGATGAAAAAGTAGGTAAACAGATTAACATAATATCTATGAATATCAAATATCTCCCTAAAAGATGCTGGTTTACTTAATCAAGTGCAACATATACTGATATGGTCTTACAGTATGAAAACTACCTTGAATAAAAACAGTGCCCATCTTAATGGTGTTGAAATCACTTGCTGGTATATTTTTTTTAAGGTTGAATAACAACTATATCTATCCTTTTAAAATAAGGAGATGTGGTATAATTGCCAATGAGAAAACTATACAACAGATTCCAAATAACATGGATTTTTAAGCAATTATAGGTCACTGTACGTCCTTCAACAATGAGCAAAACCCATACTGTATAGTCAGCCATAATAAGCCCCAACATGACAACGTTGTGTGCTGAAATGATGAATTATTGATTTTAATCCATAGACTAAATTAGTCCTGCAACATTTGTATGTGTCTGTACGCAACCAGGGAGTGTTTGATTTACAGCAGATTTGCTCATAACTTTTATGTCATTTTTGTCAGTTCGTGTTGCTCAATCTTTAATTTTCTGTATAGTGCCTTGTGGACTGTCATTTGTCTTTTCGTTATTATTCTTTTTTTCGATAATGTTTATCGAGGCGAATTATATATTATGGTGTTAGCCCTGTATAACCACGTGTTATCCGATGAAGAATGTCTGTCATAAAGTTGTCACATGTTTAGACGTGTATAATAAAATTAAAATTTGATGTATCGGCATGGTAATTAACATTATCGTCCTTAAAGTTACACCATCTACTTTCCACTATACATCATGTACTGTGTTACAACCCTAGAAAAAGCCGACGAGGAAAGGCATTACATCGACCACCGAAAGCTATATTTTTATGTAGCCTAGGATGTCGAGTGGTCTAGGGCGCTGGACACGGTGCAGGCGGTGTTGCCACAATGTCACAGAAGCAACGGTTCGAATCCCCCAGAGGGAAGAACAACAGATCTAACATTGTTGGGCTAAATTTGAGACGAAATATATATATATATAAATATATCAGTTGATGTGTATACATTTATGCACTCAGGCATATCAGTTGATTTGTATACATTTATGCACTCAGGCATATATATAGCGGATGTGGTCGTGTGGTCTAGAGCGCTGGACATGAGGCTAAGCGATTGGTGCTGTAGTGTCTCAAAGGTGTGAGTTCGAATCCCGTTTAGGGACAAAAATTAGTCAGCATTAAAATCTAATTCTAACACTGTTGGGTGTAATTTTCAGACTTATATATATACATATATAAGCAAGTCTAAATTGGAAACAACGTTCAAACCTATGATTGCGTTGGATAAATCGCAAATTTTAAACGTGTGCATGCAAAACAAATTTCTTGGTAGAGGGGTCTGAATACAGCACAAACAACATTTTCCAAAAGAACAAAAAGAGTGAAAAAGTATATTTTAACAAAACCCATTTGACTAGCAGGTCGAACAACGGATGTTCTTAAACCCTGCTGACTGCCATTGGCGATTGACAAATAAACGGATCACCAGATGTAACAAAATGGATCTTAATATTTAATTTCATACCAAACAGAAAACAATAAACTTGCGGAAAAGATGGTATACCGCAAACATGAGGTGCAAAAATTTGTACACCATATCCGGATTTCGACAATTAATGTCTCTTCAGTGATGTTGGGAATCGAAACGGTATTTGGAAGGCCATATAATTTACCTCAATTTAGGATTGACTCCTGAATTTTGAAGAGTCGAAATAGGATGAACGGATTATATAAACCCGAAGGCAAATATAATACAAGCCCAAACGAAAAAATATAAACAAGACTAAATTAAAAACAACGTTCAAACCTATGATTGCGTTGGATAAAAACCGCAATTTTTATACGTGTGCATGCAAAACAAATTTCTTGGTAGAGGGGTCTAAATACAGCACAAACAACATTTTCCAAAAGACCAAATGAGTGAAAAAGTATATTTTAACAAAACGCATTTGACTAGCAGGTCGAACAACTGATGTTCTTAAACCCTGCTGACTGCCATTGGCGATTGCCAAATAAACGGATCACAAGATGTAACAAAATAGATCTTATTATTAAATTATTACCAAACAGAAAATATAAGAATGTAACTTTAACACGCTAATGAGTGATATAAAAATAGTTGTAGAATATTTGATATATTCACTCAATATTTCGATAAACAAAATTGCTTCATCAGGCGCGTGTAGCCATCCAGGTATTATATTTTTACCTGGATGGCTGCACGCGCCTAATGACGCTAATTTGTTTAGCGAAATATTGCGTGAATATACAAAATATAACAACAATTTTTATAACACTCATTAGCGTGTTAAAGTTACATTCTTAGGCATTTATATAATTTAATTTAGTAACTGTATCGGTTTATTTTCAAACTGATCCACGCCTAGATAGATTGAATGTTGATTGTTGCTATTTTAAGACACTATATATATATATATATATATACATCATGTGCAATAATTCATTAGTATTTAATTATTTGAATTTATTCTTTCACATCAGAATTTTATAAATATTTATTTAATTTACAGCATAACAATTTCAACTTTATTTACAATTTACACAGTGTGTATATATAACCCCGTGAATTTCGGTATAACTCCGTGAATTTCGGCACGGGTTACATTAAAGTCTGTAGGTCTATAATCGACACTGTGGCTGCTTTAAACGCAAGACCATATACAATATATACAAATTTATTCACATGTGTACAGCTTGAGAGCTAGGGGAAGACTGCCCAAGCAACCGTTTACAAAACATAAATTAAGTCAAAGATAAGGGTATTAAAACATTATAAAAGGTTCTCATAAAATATAAATTATTGTCCAATCTTATGTAATAATAATCGGATTATTGTCCTCTGGCTAAACTTGGTAAAATAGCGATAATTGCTTCTTTTGTAGTTCGAGTGTTAGATACATGTATTATCTTTAGCACTTTTGACAGCCATCGGATTAAGTTGTAAAATAGTAAATCTATAATCTCTTTGGGTATTTGAAATAAAGAAACATTATATTTAAGAATAAAGAAACATTTTAAAACAAGAAATGTTCAATTTAAAACTAAAACGAGAGTTCATAGAAATATCCAATCTAAAACGAGAGTTCATATAAATATTGCATCTAAAACGAGAGTTCATATAAAGCACTTTTCGAATTATGGTAAAAGTTCCCAATGTCACTTTTCTTCCGGTTATATATATGTTAAGTATGTTAAATGAAGATATCTTCCCATAATTTAGGACTTTATGCATTATGAGTTTAAAAATACAGGCAAAGTTTAGATGTTTATGAAGTGTCCTAGATTTTGACTTTAGTGGAACCTTAAAATATAAAAAGGTTATGTATCGGTGAGTTTTTATGTTAGTAATGCATGAACTGTTTTGATTTGTAAACAAAAGTATGCTTACAATAGACCGTAAACGCTTCTGACGGTGTAGTGAGAGTATTTTAATAAATATCTTGAAATTTAAATACAAATCGTAAATTTTGTCAACACTTAAGACACATCACGACGGTCTTACTTGTTACTAACGTCATATTGTTATTGTACTAAATCGATAAAACTGTCGCCTACGGAATGAGACTGTTTCGGAACTAGCTGTAGTATACATGTATCTACTATTAGTCGAAGTTCGGTACAATAGGAAAAAAGTTTATAAAAAATGTAATAAATTGTTTAAATGAAGCCCTTGATTAAGTTAGAACCTAGGCGGTGCTTACTCAACGTTAGCTTTTCTCCATAACAGGTGTTATTGATCCAATGGTAGCATGGCAGCCACCACCACGATGTACTTTGTCTGAGATATATACCAAAGTATTATGACATGTGTCAATGCTGAGTGTAAAAATTGTTTCACAATCATTGTGTTCAATATGTGTATTACTCACTTTTAGTTTTAGTTAATCCACGTTTTTCGTGTTTCAATAAACAAAAAATGTCACAGTATTTGCTGAAAAATCAATCACCCGTAAAATGTATATACCGTGAACTTTAATCAGGTAGATTCTTGTTAAATGCTGTCGGCCAATGAAATAGTTCTATTTCGTACTGAAAATTGAAGATCAAGTTCCTATGAAAGGATTATTAATAGATTAGGCTATATTGTGTGCACACAAGTTAATTGTTTTAAGAGTTAGAAATTAATATGGTAGAATTAAAGTATGCATATAAAATCTCTAATATATAATATTGACGCACTGCATACTTAATTATTTTCAATCAATATATATCTATAGTTAAAATAAAAGTATTTGTTGAACGTGGTCTGGAGCTTTATAATTCAAGCAACGAACAAAAATCGACAAGATCAGACTGGAACTGTCTTTCCACGGATCCAATCCCTCAAATCACCGTAAAAAGTTAAGAGATTCTTTTACGTTGAAGTAGATAATGTAATGGAACAAACTAGTTTGCTACCACTAGATTAATTATTTGGTGTTATTAGTATTAGTTTATAGATATTGTATGTAATACATTTTCTCTTAAATGATAAACCAGAGACATGTCTGGATAAACAAGTGATTAATCAATTATATTTAAGTGTTCCTCTAGTCATTACTAAATCCACAAGAGACAGTAGAAGAACTGTTGACTCATTATTGATAAAAAGTAACTCTCAGTGGTTGATACAAGGGGAACCGCCTCGGTGGTCTCGTGGTAGCGTGATCGCCTCGAGTGCGGAAGGTCGTGGGTTCCAACCCCGTCCGGGTTAAACCAAAGACTTTGAAATTGGTATTTGCTGCTTCTCCGCTAAGCACGCGGCATAAAGGAATAACAGCAAAGACTGGTCGGCTCGGAGTCGCAAAAATGTGTCCGGGTAGGATGACATGTCTTCCTGCGGACTGTTACTTTGTGAACCCTCACGTTAAAAATCCGGCTCAGTGTCTCGGTCTACTAAAAAGCAGGGTTGATATTCATATATCATTTTTAAACACGTTCTCGTCCTGAGTATGCATTTAATTTGCCACTGTACGTTAACCGGCCATCCATGAACATCATCATTGATTCAAGGGGTGTGTGGCGTATAAGGCGTAAGCCCCCTTTTTAATCGGAAAAATATTGGGTTTTTTTGTGCTGAAAATCGTAAAAATACAAATTTTACAATAACGTCCCCTTTCCTGTCCCATCCACTATGGTAAATGTAATAATTTTTAATATGGGTGATACGAAACCGGGATTATATATAGATAAGTGTGTTATATATAATCACGGTTTCGTCCCATCCCTATGGAGATTCGTTATATTTAAGATAGAGAGTAGGACGAAACCGGGATTATAAATAGATAAGTGTCTTATATATATAATCCCTGTTTCGTCTCACCCTTATTTGAAATTGTATATCTAGCATAGAGGGTGTGACGAAACTGGGATTATATATAAAACATTAAAGTAAAAGTGTGTATATCAGGGTTGAAACCTTACGGTATTTGTTGCATGTAGAGCAGGATCTGCTTACCCTTCCGGAGCACCCGAGATCACCCCAGTTTTTGATGGGGTTGGTGTTGCTCAGTCTTTAGTTTTCTATGTTGTGTTTTGTGTACTGATGATGTTTTTTCGTTGTTTTCGTATTATGCCATGGCATTTTCAGTTTGTTTCCGACATATGAATATCCCATTGGTATCTTTCGCCTCTTTTTTGAAAAAAGATCAAAGAGGTGGGACGGAACTGGTACCTTATATATATCGCCTCTGTATCGAAAGATAATACTGAAACCCAACAACATATCCAAACGACAGCGCACAACAGCATACTTAAATGAAACAAGAGGGAACAAAAGATCAACCATTCTAACAACTGTTACAACGCACCACAACACTCTGAAACTAACAGTCAATTGCTGATTTATATCAATACTTTCGTTTTCCATGTTTGGATGAAATATATACGACTACAAACCACCGTTTCAAAACAATAACGCCCCACAACGTTCTGAAATTAACAGTCAATTGTGGATTTATTTCAATACTTCCGTTTTCCATGTTAGCATATGGTTAATGGACGAATTATACTACTATAGACCACCTTTTTAAAACAACAACCCATCACAACTAACAACAACATACTTGAAAATGAAATTATATTGGACCAAAAGCTTACCGACAACAAGGCACTTTAATGTTTTTGCTTGAAAATAAACTGGTCGACGAAAAACTAAGTTGTGTTACTTCTTTCACCATTAGTAATTACAAAATGTACTTTATAAGTTGAGAATGGGCATTTTGCAAAAAACATAATAATCAAAATCACATGCCCTGATATACGGATGTTTTCTTGGCTATTCTTAAATTTGAGCAAGTGAATGTTATTATTGCTTTTGAAACCAATTAGATAAGAATACGATGAAAGTAAGATTTTGATCACGGGTCTCATCTAGAAGTCTAGAGACTTTTCTATATGTAGTATCGGAACTACCTATAATGATTATGTACAGTGTACAAGACTTTAGTAATGGGTGTTAAAACATATTTATATTTTAGTTTAGATTGTCTTTCATGGTAAAAGGGATATAACCCCATTTCAATTATTTTAAATCGCCCATATCTGTGTAATCTTTCACCAAAACCCCTAGTATTGGCCTATTTTGGATTTAAAAGTCGAACATTTATTAATTTAAATATTCGACAAAAATCGTTCTATTTCACTTTCTCAAATTTTATGTTTATGCATCAACTTGAAACACTAAATCTTTTTTTTAAATAATGGACAACACATTGCGGGCCAAGAAAAGCCTTAACAGTCCATCATCCAAAAAAATAGAAAACGAACTCATCTTTAAGTGAGTTGAATAAAAACTGCATATATTTAAAGAAAGTCTTTTAAATATTCTACTCTTATGGCATGGTTACTAGCATTTTTTTTTTATTGATGAAAAGAAGCTCAGAAAATTGATTACATACGACCCATTACCTTTTATTAAAATATATACAGATTTAGGGGAAACAGATAATAAGAAAAAGAGATCATAGAAATGATTTGTATATACGCGTGCGTTTTAACAATCTAGTATTTCTCCTATGCAGGTCAATTGCATTGGAGTAGAAGACTTTCTATCTTTTTAACATAATTTAAACATTATTAAATAACATATAACTGAGAGGGTGATAGAGCAGATTTTAACAAAAGAAAAACATAACAACCGAGGCGACAACTTTTAAAAGTGGATTGCATGTCAATTATTCCATTTCAAAGTTTGGTAATTGGCGACATTCCACCTTTACCCACCACATACAAACAAACACACCAAACCTAAAGCTAAGTCATATTTTAATAACATTAACGGTACCAAATTTACATTTCTGCAATCAATGTTTCTTCAGTTTTTCATCCGTTAAAACTCATGTTTCACAACCACAGATTTATACTCGTAAATTAGCAAATAATAAATTTTAAAAAAATAGAAAAGCGCAATATCACACGACAGAGCCGAGGGCCGGTTTAATAACCATTTAATAACACTTTTCATATACAGATTACGAAACATCTCGATATATATCTTATAAATCAAAAAACACAAACATATGTAAAGCGACTTATCTCTTAATGCATGAAACAAAATATTAAATAGTATGTATATAAAAATTAACGTGACCGAACGAGTAGACCTTGTCGTACCGAATGATTTAACGGCCAAATTACACAAAACACATAACTTAAACGCAATCTATGTGCATATAATGAAGAAGAAAACAATTTCATTCTAATTCATAAATTAACCGACTGATATTATATTTATCTTCGGAGGCCAACATATTAGTCCAAACCCTAATTCAAGCATTTAACAGCTGGTTTTATGAAATAGGACAACAGGCGCGGATCCAGCCATTTTGAAAAGGGGGTTCCAACCCCCGGAATACCATGAAATGTTTGCATGAATAAAAAAAGAAAGAAAAATCGAAAAAGGGGGTTTTCAAACCCCGGAACCCACCCTGGATCCACCAATGGACCGCAAGCCGTAAAGCAAAACCCGGACAATGAATCATATCTATGGATAAGGGAGATGCATTCCTTAATTAAGAATGATTGCCAAAATATTTCAACTGTCCCTCTGTGACTCTGTGTTTTCCCATGTCTGTTTTCTATATATAGTCATGCTGTTCTTCTATCCTTCCTGTTCTTATGATTTTTTTTTTAAATTTTTAACCTTAAATCTTCTGATCTTTTCTTTCCCTTCCTTCAAAATAATTTTAGTTAAATTCGTTTAATACACGGTCACCGAAAATATACACCACCTTCTTTTTTTTTTTTACAGTAGACACTTATCTACTGTTGAAGATTCTATGTTGACCCGTCCTTTCCTTTTATTGTGTGTGGCGTTGTAGTTTTGCCTGATTAACTTATACCCAATGTAACTTTTTATTCATACTGAGAAACAACGAAAGGTACGAGTGCGTGTGGTAAAGTTAAACAAGTTTAAGCCTGGTATATTTCAGGGGGTTTTACGACTTGAAACATCCCCCTATTTTCTAAAAAGTTTGAATACTATAAGGTAACTTCAAAATCACAATAGAAATCTATAATAAAAAAACACATTTCCCCCCGGATTTGGATGATAGAGATGAAATACACGTGTCACAGATGACTAAATAGATGTACTAGTTGTTGTAGCCAATCCCGTTCTTTTTTCGACAATTGTGACATAACCGAATTCGAAATATCATCAAAATTTGACTTGTCATGAGCAGCAGCACAAACAACACTATTGAAGCAGAATCATCTTACCCTTCCGGAGTACCTGAGTTCAACCATTGTTTTAGGTGGGTATCGTGTTGCTTTATCTATAATTCTCTGTATAGAGGTTTGTGGACTGCTGTTTGCATATTCGCCGTTTTATTATTTTGTTTATGTTTATTCGAAAAATAGTTTTTGATTGCCCCCTTGGTCTCTGTTTCCCCTTTCTTTGATTTTCTCTCCCCTATATAGATTTAAGAGTGTAAAGTTAAGTTAAGTTAAGTCAAGTTCCTGAATTGATTTTTTTCTTGTGTTTTTTGTTTTTCT